TTGAAGTTGATTCGCTTCCTCCTTTCCATTCATAATCGTGTGCAGCAACAACCTCTTCTGGTAAGTAGATAAGGTGATCATTTGTGAGCACATTCACCATTCTAACACATTTTTCCCAACCATCAATATTCATTTCTTTATTATGCTGTAATTATCTAACTAACTTCTCTGCTGAACTCCGCCTTCCAGGAAGTGAATTGGCCTACATTTCGAAGTGTAAGTTGTTTGTGCTTACATTCGACTTGAGTGGCCTTTTAAGCTTTTAAACTATTTGTCTTCATTTTAGTCGTGTATACACTTCCAATGGTGCTGATGCTCCTGAAAGGTTAACTGGTTGAACATACTGACGTCCGAAACAAATGAAGAAATAAGCCGAAGTGAACAAAGCCCAAGAGCCGCATGATTTGCTGTGTTCTAACTTCTTCTGTGTTAATTTCCTACTTTTCATGCCTGTTGACAATATTTCTCATTGCCTGCTACAGTTCTCATGATAATTCTACTTCAAGCCCATACCAGCACTTCAGCATCACCCTTTACCTTCCATTATCAATAAATTTGTTGTTGTTTATTGAATCTCGGATCCTGCCAGTTTTAAAAATTCTAAAATGATTTTTGATTCACTAAATGCAATTTGCTTGAATTAATCTATTTATACTTTTCCATGTCAAAGCGAAACGTATCGCCCATACCAGTCATGAGACAGTTGATGGACAAATAATTTGCCAGCAGTGCATTTTGGGCACTTGAAAAATTGGGCAGAGTGGAACAACTTCACAGGCTGTGATCATCTGCAAATGTAGCCGGGACGCCTTGGCATGTCTTTCTTGACCTTCGTAGTTGCGGGTAGCGAAACGTATTCTGCCATCAAGCGAGTTGAAACTCATAAGACGCATCAACAATTTAACCAGATTCCTCCAGTCAAAACATATTTGTTCAGCAGATTATGTCATCGCACGGCATTGCAGTAAAACGCACGTAAATGCGTCGTGAGGACAGGTTTTGGGCAAACTGTTCAATTAAAAAGCGGCAAGATTTTATGCGCTGCCTTTAATTATGGCGTAAGGTGGTCGTGCGCAGAGTGGCTGGCATAAGGCTTGAGCATTCATTCACCAGTGTTCAACAGCTGCACAGATGTGGGACCAGTGATTTGATGGTGCCAATATTGTAAGGTAACAATGAATGCGAAGCAGGCACACATTCCACCTTCTCACTCGTCTTCATGGACACACTGTCAAGTGAATTTGAGGACTGGTGCATGCTTGGGCTGATTGGGTGAGAGAGGACGATGAACCGTGTCCCATTACATGCCTCTTTGAATGAGACTAGGCTTGGAATAAGCTTTCCTAATAAGGACTGTCATTTTGTGGCATTCGCACTGTCGCGAACGTCCTCTGACCCTAACCCATGAAATGAATAGTGTCGAGGACAATAATGCTAAATAACGTCCTTACCTGATGCGTCCATATTTCGCTTCACCAGCCCTATTGCAACTGTCTCTCTAAGCCACAATGCACAGCGTGTTCTCCTGACCAGAGAACCCGCACCGTAACAGACATGAGTGGGGCAAATATCCATCATATCAACAAATTGCTCTCCTTCAAATTGGCTTGCAGAAGTTTGACTGAACTATCAGACTAAGCATGCAAGTGAATGTTGGCATAAAGGTTAAGCAATTGGCTGTTTTTACCTTCCAAATTGAAAGTCACCGTGTTCGGATGCACGCTAACTCACTCTGGTGAATGTCACCAGGTAAACAATGCAAAGCACAGTTCATTTGGTGTTCTTTCCACTAACTAGTCAATTCAAATAAATACCCTCATGACTACACGTAGAGCGTCTTTAATTATGGCAGTGGCTTTCCAACGGCGTTACCATAGTTGACTTCTTCCGTATCAAAGAGTGCGACAATGATGGGTGATTGATTCCCGTGGCTGTAACACTGGACAAGCGCGACGTCCAGTAGCTTGGGCGTATTCACGTGACATTTGGTGGTATCTGAGGCTTTAACATGCTGAACATGCTGGAAAACGTCGCGGGAATTAATAGGAGACTTCAGTAGCATATAAATGCATTGTAAGGACAGATTTTGTGCCAACTGTTCAATTAGGCAGCGGCATTCTTTTTGCGTATTGTCATTAAATAGGGCTTAAGATGCTTGCGGGTTGTGTGCACCTGAATGCAGTAACCAGGCTACAATTGTTGTGCCAGACATTTACAACACATCAACTGGTGCTCTCAGTAGGTGTTGCCTGGTTGGTCACTAATTAGGTGGGTGGACTGACTTGCAGTGTGCTGTGAACCAGCTTTGCCAGCCGACACACCAAATCAAACACGTGAGAATGTACCCACCCATGCCTCATGGCTCAACACTCCAGATCGTTAGAGCACAACCAAATGTATGCCTACTTTTGTTACAGTGACATCAATCTAGTATGAATGTCTCGAGACATATCAGTCTCGCAAGCATTCATTTTAGAAGGATTTCTTTGATGCCACGTGCTCCTAAGATAATAATTGATGTACTTTCACATCTTTGTATTGAATACACCCAAAAGTAACTGCAATATAGTTGGACGTTGTTGTGCAACTTTGCTGTAAGTACTGATCCTAAACATTTACAGCCAATGCATCCCTCCATCCCCAATGCAGATCAGTAATAGAAGGGAACCACGAATATTGCATCTCAGCTAAGATGCATTGGTGTTGTTGGCATCAAGTATCTTCTCACATGCATGAACATTCAAAGAAATCAGGTTACAATTTCGTGGTCGGTAGCTTAAGCACCAGTCAATTTGTAATGGTTAAAGTGGTGATATGACTGTGGCGATCGCCAAGCAGGAAGCTAAGGAGAAGAGGATAAATTTTGTGATTTGATGTTCTTGTTAAAATATGGGAACCAAGTAGTGGTATTCAAGCAATGCCAATAGCCACTTAATATTACGGTACAGTAATAGTGCATGCTCTTCGCACTGCTTCGGCCGATTACGACTTGGTCGATGCCGTTGCTCAAAATAATCATTGGAAGAAGTGAATGTTTGTACATTTTAACCAGGTCGGCAGAACCACCTTAGGTAAAGAAGGATTTCCTTAGCATATAATGGTTGAGAAGACATAGGCAGCGGTATTGAATTAGTGTAAATATGCATTCGATGCGAAGATGACTGCTCTCCTTTGTAACTTAACTACTACCTACACTGTGATCAAGAATAAACGCAAAATTGTTTTATGAATAGCTTGGTTTGCAATGCAAATTGTGTATTTAGTATGATAGGCGCGCTTAAGAATTGCAAGATAATGGTAAATTGCTTTTAATCTCCCAAAATGAATACGTTTATGAAAAGAATTTCAATTGCTAAAATTTAATTTAAATGAACATTGCAAATATTTTTACAGGCTTTTTTACTGCTTTGCTCATTTAATTTAAATTGTTGAAGTGCTAAGTCCATGAATAGGTGCACCCGCCATTTAGCCTGTGGTTTACCGACCCATGCTTTCGCGCTACCCGTGTTGATTTGTTCCCAAAAGCAGGTCCATTTACAAATAAGACTCTGTTCGACTGCTCGTGACCCATCACTAGGCCAAGCGGCACTTAATTGTTGCTATTCGCCAAATGCATCTTTTCCAGCCCTTCGTCTTCACCAAATACCACAGGTTAGGAAAACGTGACTTGTACTCCAAGAAAGGGCTATTTCATTATTTATGGTAGGTTTTGGTAGGTACAAGCGTGCTTTTGTCATTATTATCGATGGTCAGGAAGTGGTTTGAGTCCAGCAGGCAGTCATTCGTTGGACATGCCCTCGCAGCACGCCTTCGCATTGTCCACTCAAAATATTCTTGAGATCTTGCCATGCGTCTTCATTATTCTAATTACTAGAATACTGCTGTTTCCGAATTTGTAAAATTGACGGTGATTGCGCGTCAATCATCGGTGCAACTTATTTGTCTCAAGATGAAATTTAACCTACCTGAAGCTGGCATGTTTCTAAAGGAAAATCCGACCGGTTAGTTTGACTGCTATTTCGTCCACAATATTTGCCATTTCTTACAAGTTCGCCATTACACAGTCATGTCCACTTTCACCGGCAAATTGTAGCGCTAATGATGGGGTCAATAGTTTTGCCGAACTCTATCGAGTTGGAACGTTCGTTCAAATAGCCGAGTGAGATGATGTGAGTACGAAGATTGGCATGCTCGTAATTGGCCACCGCAGGTGGGTGTGATTGCGTCAGTTCATCTTTAGTTTTCGTTTTGTTGTTGAATAACTGCCTTCATGGCATTTGTAGGATCCAAATCGTGAAGGTGGTTCCTGTCATTGCAGCTGATGCCAATGTTGATCCGATGTTCGGTGATGGGAAACCACGTGAGTGAGTTATTCATTAGCTTCTGCCTTGTTCTTTTCTTTTCGTTGTAAAGCATTGACTTAAAGATAAGGGCCTTGGTAGGACTGGTGTGTTTGCTGCTCATTTTCTTTGTCATTTGTTTAGGGCAACAGCCGCATTTGTTGTTGGCTGGTTGGCCAATATTGAAAGCTTGTGATGTCCCCATTTCGAGCTATGGCCACTTTACTCGTCCCTTTTCTGGCATCGTGTGACCCCCGGTTTGAAAAAAGACACATCAGCCTTGTACTGTGACAAATTTGTGGATGTTTTGTGCTCTTCACATCCTATAAGTAAAGTGGGATTTGCTGATTCCTCAGAGATTTTCAATCACTTCTTGATTTTATACTCCTTTTCTCGCACTTTGATCCATTGCAGAGAACATGGTCGTACTAATAAAGTGAATTGAATACAAAGTGAATTTAAATGCAGCCTGCCTGTCCATGGGCTCAGCCGCTGTTACGCACACTACCGTACTTCAGCGAAGGAATGTGGTGCACTTGCATCGCAACGAAGCAGTGTTCGATTTGGTTTAGTGAATGTTGATGGGATTTGTCTAAGACCTCCACTCATTTCTGTTGCTCAGTTATCTATATGGCCTTTTTCCTGCTTTAGTGAATTAAGAGGAAGTGTGAGCAGCGAGAAGACTTCGTAAACCCGTTGTTTGTGTGACGTGTTGTATGTGTTGATGGGGCTTGCTTACCATATTTTCCTTTCGCAAACTGCATTGCTCCATATTGCTTAACCTCTCGTCGCTAATGTTACTGGAGATTGTCAGATTTTGTTGTGTGA